CCTACTGTCTGGGATGTTTCTAGCCCTTCTATCACCTCACACAAGGCACCCATTCACATTCGTCTCAAAACCTCCCTACATTTTCTGGCCCAATCACAATACTGCTCTCCCTCCTTGTTGCTGCTGTCCCTCTCTTTTTTGCAGGGCAGCCTTGTCAGGCTCCTGACAATAAACTTGCTTCTTATCCCGCTGTGTGTGTGATTAGTCCAGCGCACCACTTTTCTTTCGTTGATGTCAGTGACTGGTTCACATTTTCCCATTGGCTTCGCTCTCCCCTCTGGGATTTGAGCTTCTTTGGCATCCTAGTGTGAGGGCCCAGGACAATTACCACATACCTTCTTCCATTCACCAAGTGATCTTCTTCTTCATTCACACTCTGGTCTCATTTGGGTAAGCGACTTTGCCCATCCCCTCCCCTCCTCCTCACAAGTTTACTCCCTAGAGATAGCAGTGAAAGTTAACTTAGATCTTGGGCCAGCCCGGAGAGTCTTGCTTGACTTTACCATTTCTTCCCCTTGGCAAGTTCACTCTAGGGTTGGTTCTCAGCTCATCAGCAGAGTTCACGAAAGCTCTGGCCAGACAACCAAGGCTCTCTACAGGAAAAGCCCAGGAATAGGGAAGTAGCGGGTGATTCCCTTCTCTGGGTCCCAGACTCCAGCTCACCACAGGGAACTCCCAAATTCCATCTGACTCACCTCTCAGCTGCCTCCTCATCCACTTAGCCCCACTCCATTTGGCTCCTGCTCTGAAGGCCCATTGACCTATTGAACCTTCCAATAATTCTAATTTTTGCGAGCACTCAGGAAAATGGAAGAAAATCCTTTATGTGCTTGCTTTCTTCTTTCTCTATTCTAAGTCTTCCCTTTGCTCCTCTTGCTCCCCTGCTCCGCTTCTACTTGCCACTAAAGTTCTGGATTCCTCCAGAGACCTTAGTTCTAGACAAACAAGGGACTCAGAACTCCCCTACATTGTAAAGCACTGGCCAACGCCACACTGAAGCTAACATTGAAATACAAAGGACAGATTCAGCAGGCTTGATAAGAGGTCTGAGGAAGAAAAAAAAGTATCAATTTAACTTTTCCCTTGGATACAATACAGAAGAATGACTTCAAAACTTTTTCTCTATATCTCCCTGATCTCACAAGCCCATTTCATCTTTATGCAGCTGAAAAGCAGGAATTTTCTCTAGGGGTACTTGGACACATGCTGGGGCCAACCTTTGCCCCTGTGGCTTATCTATTGATGGGTCTTGACTCTGCTGTTTGGGGATAAGCCCCTAGCCTAAGAACATTGGCCACAGCCTCTCATTAACAAGTCAAAGAAACTCACCTTTGGGCCCAAATCACCATCCTGGCTCCCCAGCAATTAAAGGAACTCCTCACCTACAAGAGCTTACATTCTTTATCCCCCTGTCGCCTTTATCTCTACAGATTTACCTGGTAGAATATCCCAGTCTTAGTTTCCACACGTGCTCAACTTTAAATCTTGCTTTTCTCCTCCCTGCTCCTCAGGACCCTTCTACCTCTTCTCTTCTTACCCATTTATGCATTGAAACTCTGAAGGAGCTTCTTCTACATTCCTCCCAAATACAGGAAGGCCCCTTGCTCCAGGCAACATACACATGGTTCACAGAAGTCTCCTCCTTCCTTCAGGAGGGAGTTGGTCAGGCAGAGTATGCTATAGTCTCTCTAACCTCGGTTGTGGAAGCAGCTCCCCTTCCCAATAATACTTTCAATTATCAGAGGGAACTTGTTGCCCTCATCAGAGCCTTGACTTTGGCAAAGGGAACCTCCCTAAATGTCTACACTGACTCTAAATACACTTTCCACCTACTTCTCTCCCATTCTGCTATTTGGAAGAAGTGCAGATTCCTTACCACCAAGGGAACTTCAATTACTAATGTCCCCTTTATCTCTGATCTCCTTCAGGCCTCAGAGCGTTCCACTATCATTGGAACTGAAGGAAGACAGCTAAGTAACCCCCTTCTCCAGTGGACACTTCCTTTCCTGACCTCTCTCCTTGTCCTAGGCATTTTGCTAATGCTTGCCCCCATGTCATTAGATTTATTCACAACCAGATTCAAAGGCTCTCTAACCAAACAGTGAACCAGCTTCTGTTACAGGACTTCCAACCCCTCACCAAAATTGAGTCATCCAGAGCCAGCATTGCCCAGCACCTCCTGGCCATCACCATTGCCTCAGTGACACCCTGAATCGCTAACAAGGGTCCAGACACCACTCCTTTGCAGCAGAAAGAAGCTACGGAAGATTGATCTGCACCTTTTCCCTTAAGAGGCCCAATGACAAACAAAACGGGGGAGAGTAAGGTCCTTGCTTAGCATCTGGACAGCCATCTTAAGTGACAGCTGCCATTTTAAGAAAAATTTTGCTTTCCAGACCAAGAGTGTTTCTGAGAAAAGCTCACCACTCCCTCATACCAACCCAACCCTTCACTGCCCACATTAGGACCTGCCCACCTCTAATCCTTGAGCCTGCCCCATAAAAGTTCCAAACCCCAAGCCTGTTTTACCTCTCTCCATCTATGGAGAGATGGCCTGTATTTGTCAGCTTTGACAAATATACTCTCCTGTGTATCTCTGCCTGGTCTCCGTCTTTCATTTCTTGCTCACCCCTCTCCTGGTTCCTGGCTTTCCTTTCAGTCAGTATGAGAGGTCTGAGAGGGCAGAGGTTTGTTTAGTATTTTCCTGTACTGAATGCCATCAGTTCAGTAATCACCAACACAATATTAATACAAAGAGAAACACTGCAGCCTGCCAAACATCTTTTGGACGGAAGAAAAGGAAGGTTCTTGAAATCAGGTGGGAAGAGAAACAAGGACCGTTATCTGAAAATAAATCACTTTGATCTCAGTCAAAACAAGGTTATTTGGGAGCCAGTCCACTGCTGTCTTCTACAGTTCCATGTCTTTCTGAACTGAGCAATGAGTCAGCAAATGTGGTACCACATGTGAGAAGCTGATGAGGGTAGATGGGGGACAGGCAGTCAGAGAACCTCTAACACATCCCCTTTTTGGAAGTCTTTGGAAGAGTAATTTGATGGAAGCTTTTCAAATTTTAGGTCACTCGTTTAAATTCAGTCTCAGTTGATCAGGAACAAAAGTGGGTGGTTGGTGGCCTATGAAAAATACCTTGATGGTGTCACCCTCATTCTTTCTAATAGTGACTGCCAGTGCAATTGGCACCCTTTCTTTTGCTTCCACCAGCAGCACAAAGCGTGAATAGAAATGTCATTGTAAGTATTTTTTCAGCCTTTGTGCCTGAGAAATCTGAGATATGAAAAGGCCAACTCCTTTTCATCTTTAACTCACAGCTAGTATTATTCTCCTATAATATGCTTCCTAGATCTTTCTGGGATTTATTGAATAAAACCTGGGCCACCTTATGAGAAAAATTATGGCTTACCTCATAGAAAGTTAAATTATATAAAGGAACATTGTTATAGAGGATTTAAAGATAAAACATGTAATTTCTGACAAGAAGCTTAGAAATCTAAGATTTATTTTATTTTCCTTTTTGTTTCAATAAATGAATCCTCATGAATATAAAGAAACAAATTTTCATTATTTTATTACACTCACGTTTCTTAATATTAGGTTTTCCAGTTCTATATCATTGTAATAATTTGACTAGCTGCTTTTTCTATCCTGAAGAAGTGATATTTTTTCTTTTATGCAATTGCATTTCCCTTATGTTCTAATAGTAAGTAGACAATAAAATCAAACTCTTTTTAATCACCTGCAGAATAAAAACAAAATAAATATTTGAGGAGAGCTACAGAGAAGTACCTGGTAAAGCCAACCAAATTGTGACAGCCATGGGTAACCAGAGAGATATAATGGAAAGAGACTTGTTTTAGAAGTGTGGAAAATTCAGTTCACTGATCTTAAGCATCAATTATTTTTTATAAAGTTCACTTTCCACATCTGGAATATAGGCTGGTGTTTTTTTTTTTTTTTTTTAATTTTCACATTATTTTCAATACTATGGAATAATTCTATGGAATTATTAATTAATCAGGATTGGAGTCAGAACATGTCAGTATTCAAATGGATTTGTGCATGATGTAACTGTACCTTATGTAACTTCCTAGAATGATGCTAGAACTTTTCTGCTTCTATTCATATTAAAATCTCTCCTAATCTTAAGGGCCAGCTCCCTAAATTTTCATATTTAAAAATTCTTCCATTTCCATGTAACGCAAGGAAAAGATAAACTCTGTCCTCTGAATACCCTTAGGTAAAACAATAGTCATGCTATGGTTCTATGATTGTTGTAGCAAGTGATAGTTATTGACACCATACGTAGCACAAACTGGAGCTGCATATTCAGTCAAAGATACACCCTTAACTGGTCAAATGTGCTTTGATCAGGAATATATAAATAGTAAAAACCAAGATATCATCTTGCATGTAACTCATATGCCCATGAATTCTGAACTGGAAATAGAAACATCAGCTAAATATACACTTCTTATCTAAATAAATACACCAAGGCACGTAATTATAAGACTAGCCTGCAACCATAGAATAGAGTTTGCTTTAGAGTCAGAATGCCTATCATCAACCTTTGAGTCTAAGGTTATTTCCCTATACAAAACTGTAGCAAAAATAAATCCAGCTGGGCAAGGGCACCCAAGACAGAAAATAATAGTCAGCTGCAAACTCTTTAGTTGCAAAGTATAAAATATTCAAGTGCATGTTTCCAATCCCTTCATTTTCTCCTGTAATGATTACAGCTAATCCCTGCCAGCCAAACGTTGGTTCTTCATTGTGGCAATCAATAGAATAGATTAGCTGTGCAAACCCTACATCCATATTATGCTTGCTTTCCTTTCCAGATGGAATTTTTATTCTCTAGAATACAAGCAGGCATGCAACCCACCCTCTCAACCCCTAAAGAACAAATATAAACTCATTAGTCTCCAGCTTGTCACTTTAGAAGGGGTGTGTGTGTGTGTGTGTGTGTGTGTTGCCAAACATACCTGTAGATTTAATAAAACAGCACCAATCCTCATGGCTTCACTGATTTCAAGGCTGTACATCAGCTGTGGAAAGCGGGGAGGGCTTTGATTATTTGGAGGAAGCACTTCAATGTACACTGTGCAGATGGAGTGCCTGCAGAAAATGAGAAGTGAACAAGATGTTTAAAAAGCTACATAGCATTTAAAGATAAACTGAACCTTTTGTCATTTTGGGGTTTTATAGGCCAAAAGCTTTTCAAACTTTCATAGAAAATAGTAAAATCAGCTTGAAAGGATAGAAAAATAAAAGCTTCCTCTGAAACATAACACTTCTACAAAATTATCTTAGTAAAAAGGAAAGGAATTATTTCTGTATTTTTTTAACTTAGGTAAAAGTAAAAATTAAAAAGTAATAGCTATACAACAAAGCTAATAAATTAACATGGCTTGACTTTTGACTTTATTTTTCAATGCTTTTTTAATAGCAAAAAATATTCTATAAACATCTGGTAATAGGAGCTGTCCTTTGAGCTCTCTTCCTATTAAACCAGCAGAGGAAGTATTGATTAAAATACCACACAAAAGCAAATTATGGACTGTTTGTTAGTTCTGTAGCTGACACCAGGGACTTAATGTAAGTATATGTAGAGTCAAGAACATAAATTAATTCTTACAACAAACAGTTGAAAACAAAACTAAATGGGTTTTACTGTCTTTGTTTAAAGAGTATAATATGAAAAAACTAAAAGATGAGATTTAATTAATGCCTTTCTTGACCCATAATTTTCTTGAAGAATAAGAAAATACTTTGTTATTACAAGCATAAAAGAAATAACACTGACAGAAATGTTTTTGACATCTTAAACTCTTTTTTTTTCCATAATAAAAACTGAAGAAGCAAAGTTTATAAAGAAACACTGGCAAAAATATATAAATTATAAAATTTTATAAATTACAAAAAGTAGTCCTCCATCTTGAAATACATATGCATCTTATGTAAACATACTAACATGGCCTGAAATATATGCTTTAAACATTATTTTAACAAAATCATTATTTTTAGTTTAAAACATATTAATTATGGTTTCTGTTTGGGGCTAAAATGTTCTTGTTTTCTCAAAGTCTTTAATAAGTGTTTCAATTGAAAGACATGATCACCAAACACATTTTTCTCAGATTAAGTATGCCATCCTAATTTTTGAAAATTTTTTCACTGAAACACAGATCATGAGCACTGAGATTTAGTTTTATATCTTGTCACTTTGTAATATCCTGTAATTTAAGTTGTTTCTGAGCAGATCCTCAGTAGACATATAGCCACAGGATATTAGGCATCACTGAAAAGCTACATGACTTTAGAGAATTTCATTCTTGCATTTATTGTTGCTCAGTAAGTTTATTTCAAATTTTAGACTCTTGTATTCAATTATGATACCTATATTCATTATTACATCTGAGTTTACATTTTACTATTAAAATTTCCTAATAAAATTTTACTTTTTTCATATATGAATGTATGAGATAATAAAAATAATTTATTTACATGTACTAATATATAAAATAATTAAAATTGTTAATAGTAAATTTAGCCTATAAGGTTCAGAGTGTTTAAAATAGGTTAAAATAAATGAAATGTTGCTTATAAACTTTAATTCATATGAAAATAAAATAATAGAAATTTACAAAATCTACTGTACTTTACAGAGACTCCCAATTCTCATATTGTGAGAACAGTGGGATTTAATTTGGAGGTAGAATTCATATCCTTCTAGATGGTGAATGGAACCCAACAGCCGCACCAAGAGGTACATTCTCCTGGATATTTTTACCCTTGCGAATCTTGGCTTGTTTTAATGTACTATTTATCAAGTCATTCAGTAATTTTATGTCTCTTCTTTTTTCCTGACTGTATCTTCTCTATGCATATGTTCTGTAACATTGGACTTATTATTCTCTATGCATACTATGTCTTACATAACTATTGTTGATAACTGTAGGCAGGTGATATTGAGGCCAGGATTTGTGCTCAGACATTTTCAGATGACACTTTTGGTGCTGCCACTGTGTGATCTTGGGCAGAACACAGAGCAGCTTTTGTCCAATGCGACTGTTACCTTCATCTACCCTTAGTTGTTTGCTTCACCTTCCACTTTCTAAATAATTTATGCTATATTTACTAATTATGTTATTTTCCTTCTTGGACTTTGATCTTAGAGTTTTGGAAAAATTTCATTTCAAGGTTACTATCATCTTCAACATCTTGGCACTTCCCTTCAATGTGTTTAAATAAGCACTATCTTGAGGGTTATTGCCTTTTAAAATGATATCTTCTTTTTATTACTGATGTCAACAGAGTGTCAGAGTTAGCTTTCCTAAACTGAAAAACAACAGTATTAACAAGAAAATCATAACATTCATATTGTAATAAATAGTAGTATTTCAACAGCATCATTTAAACACATAAATGATATACTAAGTAAATAATATTTTATGTATTTCATGTTTACATTTTATTTCCAGTTCTAAATACATAAAACTGAACATTTATATAACCAAATTTTATTTTGTTTAAAGCGGTTTGATGTATATAAATCTCTATTTCCAAAAACGAAAACCATTATACTCTATTCTTTCACATTCGGTATTAAAGGTCAAAGAAGAACAAAAAGAGGTAATACATTTCTCAAATAATCTTATGATTTTAAAGACTTTACATCATCTAATTTGGGTAGATAGTTTTATAAAGATCATTTAAAAATCAGAAATAATAAGTCACTGAATTAAGTTTACAAAGTTAATTAGCAAAAACAGATAAACTAAAAAAGCAAGATTTTAACATTCAGACTTTGCTTGAAAAAAGGAAAAACTTTCATCTCAGAAGAACAAATTTAGGAAATACACTGGAGAATTTTTACTCATCTGATGTGTGTGAATATAAAACATTCTTGGTTTTTAACAAACCATCACGTTTCTGTCACATAATGACATAAATTATTTCAACTCTTGGAATCAGACTATGAAATTACAATTTTTAATTATTTATACCAGGAATGAAACATCATCAAAAGCAACTATTTTTTAAAAAAATATTTTTAGTTGTCAATAGACCTTTTAATTAATTAATTAATTAATTAATTTATATGTGGTGCTGAGGATTGACCCCAGGGCCTCACACATGCCAGGCAAGTGCTCCACCATTGAGCCACAACTCCAGCCCCAAACGCAACTACTTTAAGAATAAAATGAATAAAATAAAACATGAATAAAGGGGAGGTATAAGGATGGACCTATGTTGCTTTAACTTTGGAAATGGTACAAATTAAAGTCAAACTTTTGTCATATTATAATAATAATCAGCAACGAGAGAATGTTGCTGGCATTTAGAGGATTGTAAAATATTTGCTATTTTCTATACAATTTTCTATTAAATACGTCAACATGTGTTATGTCTATTTGTAACTCTACATTTCAACCATGTTGTTTCTATGACAAAGGTTACAGGTGTTTATATTGCCTTCCTCAATAGACTTAAAGAAATTACTGTAGTTTTTCCTTTCTCACAAACGTGGTCCTAAAAAAGCTATACTTAGAGTTCAATGCTCATTGATTCTGTTCTACTATTTTGAAAGTACAAATAGCACTCCACAGTAGACCTCAGATTTAAAACCAACATAAGAGGTCAAAGATAAACTCTTAGGGGAAATTCAGGGGAAGAATTTTAAAATGTAAAATGTATTTACATATAAAAACAGAAGGGAATTAGAGACAGGAAAAATATGTGCAAATTCACAGAGAAAAAAACTAGAAAACTATAAGTTTTATAAAGCTAAAAATATGGTTATTTTTGGAACAGCAGTTGCAGTTATGATTGGCGATGTAGGGCTCTCGCAAATCCTATCAAATCAAACTTCATCTTGGTAATGGGGAATGGTTGACAAATTTTAAGCAGGTCAATGATATGATTAAATGTGTCAAACCATTCCTGTTCCCACAGCTTTGCTTTTCTGTGTCTCCAATATCTTGTTCTTTTTTCCCCTAGATGGATATTCTATTACTACCCCTTTACATGTGAGCCTGACATTCTCTTCTGCTATCTTCTGAGTGCCATGAGGACAGAGGTCTCATGTTACCTCTATTTCCGGTGCCTACCCAAGAGACTAGGACTTGTGCAAAGCAAGTAAATTTTTGTTAAAATAAATCAGTATTTATTTATCATGTCTTTATTAATGTTAAATATAGCACATAAAGTTATTTAAAGACTATATTTTCACAGTGGAAAATTATTCAACTGGAGAATAGATTATTTAATTATATGTTATTTATATATAACCTTGGACTCCAAGAATTAAGTGGGGAAAATGATATGTCCTCTATCAAATAATCATTTTACAATAAATATTAGAAGCTGTTTAGGAGCAGGGCCTTTTATTTTTTCTTACATATTCATACATACCTAGCAGTCATGCTTTATTCACACCAGAACTTAATAAATATTTACTCAATTTAACTGAATTATATACTAAGAAGGTGAGTTAGAGACACAATTAGTGTTAACAATACCCCAGAATGTTTTATGACTTCTGTTAGCTTTTACCTTTTGTCTCTACTCATCTTCTCATCAAAGCCTAAAACAAATGAGCACCAAAAAAGTCAATTATAGACTATTTCTTTTCTCACTTTGAATCTTTAGATCCTTTACCAAACTGAAATAACAGTAAATTCATCTTGGATACTTTGAGACTCAATGTTATTTAAATTTCTAAATTGAAGTTACCAATCTGAAAAAAAAAAAACTAATATGGAAATTTCCTCAAATTTTGAACACTGCTACTATTGTTTTTGATGCTTTTATTTAATTACATTTAGCTAATACTGTGGCTGTCTGGGTCAATCTATGAAGTATATCATAACCTATATTTTTATGTTCGTAATTTAAAAATAGCATCTTCTTCATAAAGCAAACTAAAAGCAAAACCTCACAGCACAGTTCATTCATCAACTTAATTTGAAGGATTCATTTCCCTCCAGAAAAACTGCAAATGTCATCATCTGCAGTGCACAGGACATTATCCCAGCAAGTGAAATGAAGGTATATGGATTTTACTCTCTGCAGCTCCCACCTGACGTTTGACCACACACTATAAGGTGATCCTTTAGTATCCAACCCATTTTCTTAAAAAAGAAAAAGAGAGGTTAGGTCAACTATGCCTGGTATCAGTGAAAGGACATAGCAATTAGATTCTGAAGGCAGCCCTTTGTTTAGAGAGGAATACAATTTTACTCAGGTACAATCTACTCTTGTACTGATCAATACAGGTAACAGCTTATTCAGGCAAAGAGGTGATAGATAACAACTTGCAAATAGGAACTGAGCAAGCTGTGGATTATGAAATCTCATTTATTAATACAGTTATCCCCCTTATCTGTGGTTTTTTTGCTTTCTGTTTTTTTCAGTTGCTCACAGACAACCACAGTCCAAAAATTTTACCTAAAAATAATTCTAGACATAAACAATTCCTAAGATTAAATCGCATGCCATTCCGAATAGCACGATGAACTCTTACATAACCCCTTTCCATTGTTTGTGTGACATTAGTCATGCCTTTGTCCAGCATATCCACAGAGTATATGCTCACTACCCATCAGTTGCTTAGTTGCCATTTCAGTTATCACATGGACTATTTTGATACTGTAATGCTTGTGTTGAAATAACCCCTATTTTTATAAATATCTTTATTTTGTTTATTTAGTTTTATGTGGTTCTGAGGATCAAACCCAGTGTCTTACACATGCAAGACCAGCCCTCTACTGCTGAGCCATAACCCCAGCCCAAAATAACCCCTATTTTGATTGATAATGGCCCCAAAGTGCAAGAGTACTGATGCTGACAATTTTATTTCAGTGTGATATTTTTCTATTTTATTATTATTCATATTATTGTTGATATTTTATGTGTTTAAATTACTAATTAAATTTTCTTATAATACATTTTGTATTATAAAAATATGTACTTATGCATTTAGAGGAAGAAAACATAGCATATATAGGATTTGGCATAACCTGAGGTTTCAGAAAGTCACTGGGGAGTTTTGAAACATAATCTACACAAAAAGAGGCCACCTACTCTATTCAAAAAATAATAATTTAAAACTTTCCATTTAGCCACATGCAGTGATGTATGACCCAGTGACTCAAGAGGCTAAAGAAGAAGGATCTCAAGTTTGAGGCCAGCTTAAGCAACTTCTCAAGACTCTCTGCAACACAGTAAGACACCTGAATTATTATAGTATTATTATTATTTCAAAATAAATAAAATAAAAGATACTGGGGATGTAGCTCAGTGGTAAAGCACTGCTGAGTTCATCTCCCAATTACAAAACAAACAAAAACATAGCAATCAGTCATAGTAATAGTAACATATTGGTATATACAGCTCAGATCAGAAACATTTGACACAGCACTGTGTTTGATGGAGAAAAATTAGAATTTAAAATAAATTGATGAACATGAAAGGACCTTATTGAAACTTCAAGTAAAAAAAGGTAAACTTGTTCTTTTTATTAGAATTATTTTGTTGCTAATAACCAATTGTAGTATCTTTTCTCTAAAATAATAACCACAGAGTTTATGGATATAGAACAGAGTGGGAGGAGAAAGTTTTTGAATCCAACATATCTGAGTTCAAGTTCTAGTTCTACTACTTGCTCATTGCAGAGCTAAAGGTTGCTAGATGAAGTGTTTAGTCAAGTAAATTATCCTATTTCATTCTCAGATTTCTAGATTAAAAAATAAATATAATCATACAAACATTCACGATGTTATTAAAATTAGAAATTATGTATGTAAAATGATAGCATGTTTGGCCTTAGTGCATGCTCAGTATTATTAATAATCTTTAATTCCTCTTAGAATAACTCATCCTCAATTAAGCTATTTGAAATTAATTTAAATTTTATTTCACACTTATTTTAAATTCCATAACTACTCAATATATAAAAATATTCCACTTTTTCTTTCAAGAAATAGCATTTAATCATTTTAGGCATCTATACTTATTTGTTTTTCTGGTATATTAACAATGGCTACATCCAAAATGAGTGTGCCCAAAATTGAACTCATGTCCTCAAATCATGTGTGCTATTTTGACAATACCATTGCCAAGTCACCTTAATCAAACACCTGAGGTTTATTTATATTTATGACAATTTCATCTCCATTCTTGCTAGATATTTGGTATAAGTATCAGAAACTTTTTTTCTAAAATGTTCTAATGGTGGTTTTGTATGTAAATTCTTTGCCTACAGTGCCCTTCAAAACTGTCCATCAGGACAGAAATGAAATCTTATATGATGATAGCTCATGAAAAATAAATGAATAATGGAATAGAATAGACCCAAATCCAAATACATAAGGAATATATGTTATAATTATGGTTATATGTTATAACCAATGAAACTACAAATTAGTGAAGAAATGAACTATGCGATACATTGGTTTGGGACAACAGGATAATTGACTGAAAAAATGTGGCAGCATCAATACATCCTACTGTAAACTAGAATAATTCCCAAATGCAACAAAAGCTTGAAAACAATTGTACCTACAGTAACAATTGTAATCCCCAAAAGCAATATTAGAAAATATAGATTAATTGTAAGCTGGGCTTAACATATCAATAGAAAAACAAACAAAATTTTATGAATCCAGAATTCATAGATGTAATAGAATTACATATAATATATATATAGAATTACATATAATATAATGTAATAGAATTGGCCGTTAAACATTGGAAATATACTCACATGGATAAAAATAGATACTATATATTACCTATTGAATAGGGACAATATGAATAACAAATGTTTAAAAATAAATGCTTAATGACAACTAGAGAAATGGTATAGAATATCATTTTTAGACTTTGTAGTTGAAATTTTAGACTATAAGTTTTATAGCTGGCAACTTGGCAGTTATCAAGAAAATTTACAACTATAAATACTCATTTGTCTTTCCACTGGGAATTTTTTATATACTTGTACATATTCATCAAAGTGATATATGTTCAATTTATTTATTTCTCTATTATCAGTATAAAAGAATGAAATAAAAAAATCCATGGAAAGTTGCCTTCTTAAACAGAATCACATACATATGAAAAAATATTAAATAGCTGTGAAAAAATTTGAGGAATTTATTCAGAATTCATATGAAAACACAAACCCAAAACAGACAAATTGTGAAAGATGAATAATCCAGCAAAGTGTAAGATTATATTCATATTCATTAATATTTTTTAAAATGTCTATTGAAAATTTGGAAATAATTTATTATTAAGAGGAACAACACTTCCTGTTGTTTGAGATCAAATGGGGAACTAAAAGAATATAGTTGTATTAGTAAAATTTTAAACTTCTGTGTGTGTGTGTGTGCATGTCTGTAGTAAGTATTATATATATATATATATATATATATATATAATATATATAATTCACATTTATATTTTACGTATAAATTTTAATAATTACTCACTGAGAGGTGGTTTCAAAATCCTGACACATAACATGCTTCTGACAATCTGTGAAGTTCTTTGAAGAAAAGAGTCTTTCACTGTCAGCAACCTTGTTTTTGAGTAATAAATTGGAAACATGCCTCTGATATCTTCCAATTCTACTTTAGAACAGAGACCTTCCTCCTTCATCTGTGAGATCATTTTGTGGTTTAATATTAACTTTAATGTCCTCTTCCCAAAATTTAACCAATAAGAATACGCAGTTCCTGAGAATGCTCTGATATTTTCTGTTCTAATTTAGATGTTTACAGGATAAAAGAATACTTGCCGAGCCTCTTAAATTTAATTATAGGGTTAAACGGGAGCAACAAAAAGACTGCATTGGCTCTAATATAAATTACCTTCTCTCTGCAGGAGGAGCATTATCCCATGCTTGGACCGTGAGCGCATAAGTCCTCCCGACTATCAATTCCACCCCCGGAGCGATGGTGATAAGCCCTGTTGTTTTATTGATGATGAAGTCTCCCTGAGCCCCAACCAGGATCTCATACGTGATCTCCCCATTTGACCCTTCATCTGCGTCGACTGCAGTGAGCTGGAATTGAAAATCACAATATAAATCCTCTTGGGATTCAACTTTTCACCATTGTGTTATTTTTTTTTCCTCCCCCAAACCACAAGGAGCTTGTTTTCAAAGACAAAATATAAGTGAAGAAACTTTTCTTGGCCTATATGCTCTTGTTTTGTTGATTTGAGCCTCCTGTGTTCTGTTAGGATACTGAAAAAAAAAATCACAGTTGCAAAGAGGTTTTCTTCTCTTTTAAGAGTGATGAGAAAAACCTTTGAATCTTGAAGACTATTTTTATGTTAAATAAATAAAACAGAGGAAATTCCTAACATAAAATCTAATATCCTGTAGAAAATTTAATATTTTTTCTCACTTTCTGTTGTTGATACATAAACACATATTTCTGTAGTCTGAGATCAGGAAAAAAAATAGGCAAAGTTCTCTTTATTACTGCCATCTTTCCTTTTACTCTCAATTTTTTCCATTATAATGTATTCCTGCCTTATAATCTTGCTGACACTGATGTATGAAAGACTGATAAGGTTTCCAGAATTGCAGTATAGAAAATAAACAGATTTATCTTTAATTGCAGAAAATAAAAGTTAATGCAACCCCAGATATAATTTTTTGAGAAAATAAAAATATTCAGAGCCCCTGAATTGATATTGTATAAGCATCTAAACACAGGTAGAACTAATATGCACATACTTATAGTCATTTTGAGGCAAAGAGTATCTAATAAAACAGTATATTTGGGTTACTATATGAAAAGAAAATAACCTTTATTAATCCTATAAAACAACATTAAAAATAATGATTATGTTAAATAAGGATCCTTGATTTCCTTATACATATATACAAACTAAAGAAAGAAAAAGAATAGAAATGGATTCTAGCGGGAAGTATTATAATATGCATTTTACAAACATTCACAGAACTTTATGTTTTCTTCATACCAGAATTTGCATAAGGAGGAAAATGGATGAGATTTAAACATGGAAGAAAACAAAATGTTTCTATTTCTATTTCTATGTTTTCTATAAGGAAAACATACACAACTTTAATACATAGTAGAAATCTTTTTCTTATTTAATTACATTTTCTCATGTGACTCTAATCCCATATTTTACTTCTATAATGTCAGTAGCTTTTTATAGTTCACAGACTCCTTTGGGAATCTGACAAGTCCTCTGGGGCACACTACTTTCTTTATACCCTGTGAATGTCCACATGTACCTTGAAACTTCACTTCAGTTTCACTTCATAGTAATTAATGGCCCATTTGAAGGTTCAGTTTTAATATTCCCCAGAAATGTAAACAAAGTTTTTCTTAAACAACACCCCAAGAGGATTACATGGATAGGTGGGATATATTCAATTTCTGAATTTACTGCAGTTGCATTTAGCCTGATATTATACACAGAAATAGCAGTAACAAAAATACTTGGAAGATAAAAGGAAATTTGAGAGACTGGCATTAATACAGCTAAATCTTGTGGTTGGATACTTTAGGGTAGACAGATGTGGCTGCCAGAAGGAAAGACATTTCATTAAATGATTCTGTGACGTACATGGGAATGACAGACATAGACCTTAAGGCAAAAAAGAAGGAAACTATTCATAGAAACAGCCAAAATGAATGATGTATATTTATGAAGCACTGTTTAAGTCAGATAAATTCGTTCTCTTTTGTGTGTGGATAAAGTTAGATAATTAGAGGGTGGGGGTAGGAAAGGAGATATCAATTTTGATTATAGTAAATCACTTAAGCAAAATGTCTCAGGAAATCTTAATTAAAATTTAGCTCAAATTGGATTCAATATTAACATTCTTCCTGGGACTTAAATTGGCTAAAGGAATTTAATGATAAATGGCAACACATCAAGTTAAGAAGAGGTGTTGAGGAGTGTGCTTCAGGGACATGGGTATTATGGCTGGTCTTATTTAACATTTTCATAAATGAGGTTGGAAGGGAAGATAAGCTGGATGATAATTAAATTGAGAAAGACACCCATCTGGGAGGTGCTGTAAATACTGCACAAAGCTGTGAAGCACAGGCAAGCGAAATACCCCTAAAATTGCAGAGCCAGTCAACCACAGATGAGGTATAATATTCAGGGAAAATGACTAGCTCCTCAGAAACTATTAGCATGTGGAAAGATTAGGGGAAAAATGAATTCTATTTTTAGGTTAGTTAAATACCTTTAAACTATTTTCAATCTCTTAGTACTAAATAATAAAACATGGGCTAAGAATCAACATACTTTTGAAGAAATCAATGATAGTCCAAGGTTAGAAAAGAGAACTGAGACTCTGACTCTGAACACCTGACCAATAATAATGTATTTCATGCAAGCCAAGGCACTTCTTTAATCCTCAATATTACTAAGCAGTAGACTTTCCTTCTGTAGTCTATCATATGTTGGTAGATAGAGCTTTAAATGCTAATTTTGCAGCTAAACTATGGTGAGGGTTTAATTCAACTGCAACTCAATAACTGACCAATGCCAGTTTCCGCTGCTCCTCTTGTCTTTAAGTAACTAAATCAAAGGTTCTCATGAAATAAAACAGTGCCAGCCAATAGGAAGAATATCATTGATGACATGGTTTTCATTTATTCTGGAAGCTAAGTTTACTACTGAAGTTTCTTGATATATATATGAATCAAAATTTAATTTCAAATGCTAATTTAACTTGAAATTATGTCACTTCAACCACAAAAATACTACATTTGTAGAAAAAGAATTTAATGATTGTTTATTCTTCTTATTTTGCTTTATGACTATTTCTGTAGGGAACATTATGATTTGAGATCTCGGTATGCGGTGCCATGTGATCATTTTATATGTCAAACCATCTGTTATAATTTTGATTTGGGATCCCACGCAAAAAAACCCATGATTCATCTGTGTATGGGGTGAAGGTGGGAGTTCATAACCCACTAGAATCAAAGTGTGGAATATGATATGTCAAGAAATTTGTAATGTTTTGAACAACCCACAATAAAAAATTAAAAAAAAAAAAAAAAAAAAAAAAAAAAAAAAAAAAAAACCCATGATTCAAAAGCTTGGTCCCCAGCGCAGCAAGGTTCACAGGTGGCGCTTTCAGCAATGATAGGATGATGAGGGCTTTGATCTCACTGATCAATTAATCCATTGATAGCAGAATGGACTACTAGGATTTGGGACCTAGTTTGGGTAAGTAGGTCAATTCAGGTATGTCTTGAAAAGGTATAACTTCCCCCTTGCATCTCTCTCTCTCTCTCTCTCTCTCTCTCTCTCTCTCTCTCTCTCTCTCTCTCTCTCTTTCTCTCTCTGTCTCTCTCCTTCCTGGAAGCCAGGAGCTGAGAAGCTCTCCTCAGCCATGTTCTTCCACCATGATGTTTCTGCCTTGGAGACAATCTGCCATGGACAGAATCCTCTAAAACTTTGAGTCAAAGTAAACTTTTCTTCCTCTAAGTTGTTCTTGTGGGGTATTATCAAAGCTAGTCCTCTTTGATTAACGTATGATTATTCATACAATGGGCAAAGATCTTAATATTAAGGTAGTGGTGTGGCTTTTGCGTAAAAATCATAATGATGCCCGTAGTCCCAGTGGTTTGGGAGGCTGGTGCAGGAGTTTTGCAAGTTCAAAGCCAGTCTCAGCAAAAGTGAGGGGCTAAGCAACTCAGTGAGACTCTGTCTCCACATAAAAGGCAAAATAAGACTGGGGATGTGCCTCAGTGGTTGAATGCCTCTAAATTCAATCCCCGGTAGCCCCCCCCCCAAAATTATAATGAATCGTTAAATGAGTGATAATAAAGTCTGTTTGACTTCTGAATTAAAGAATTATCTATATTTTAAAATGGAGCGCTTTTAAAAATACATTTTTTAAAACATCTTTAAAAAATCTCTTATTATTCAGGTTGAATATTTGAATCAGAATGACAAGGGGAATAAAACACAGCCACTTGAGTAGTATTTGACATATTTAGAATAAGATAGGACCATGAATGCTCAAGTTTGATTCTTTTCACAATGATGTTAAATGTGCAAGATGCACTTTGAATTGATGTTATGCTATAACTTGTAAATCTCAGTTGTAAAAATCCTGAAAAATATTGCAATCTTTCCAAAGAAAAGTGTTATAGAAGTAAACTACTTAGACCACTTGTTATTAATGCCAGATAACATAATTCTGGGAAAAATATGTAGAAAAACATTTATTTAAAAATAATTAATGATCATGTACAGTGTTCCCAGGCAACACAGTAGGAGTGAAGTGTAAGCTAAAATTGGTCAATTATACTGGGCTCTGTGGTTTTTTGCAACTTACTGCCAGATGAGAGAGATTTTTCAATAATAAACAAAGAAATCCATATTGACATGTTGTGACAAGTGCAATTAAAAAATGAGCCCAAGGAACAATGAGTGGGTGATAGGATAAACATGAAAGCCTTTCTGGCATAGGTTACAGTTAAGATAGAATTTGGAAGATGAGAATATGACTGAAGAAAATGGATTAAGAGCATTTTATGGAAAAAGGAAGGGCATATGTGAATGAAATAGAGCCCTGTGCTATATAAGGGCGTCTGAACAACAACAGATTGCACAGACAGCAGTGCCTTCATGAGATTATAATGGAGCTGAAAAATTCCCATCACCTAGTGAAGTTGTGGGCATTGTAACTTTGAAATGTAATGCATTACTCATATGTTGGGGGCAGTGATTGTGTAAACAACACTCTGCACTGCCCGCAGTACAAATGTATAGCATACATGATTGTGCTCAGTTCCTAACACTTGAAAATAGTAATGAGTAACTGTTACTGGGTTATGTTTATTTTACATGCCATACTTGTCATCATTGTTTTAGAGTATACTTCATCTACTTATAAAAACATTTACTATTACTATAAAACAGTTCGTCATGATATGCCAGCAGCAGCAGCTTCAAATGACTTGTTTATGTTGTCTCTGAATGCCACATTGAGTAATGGACCTTTATATCTCAGTTTGCATATGTATGTATGTGTTTGCACAGTGATGA